TTTTTTTTTTTTTTTTTTTTTTTTTTTTTTTTTTTTTTTTTTTTTTTTTTTTTTATTATATATTCATGTTACTTATGGAGATCTATGATCCAACACATTCGTAATCAAATAATTGTCTGAGGCTTTTCGAAAGTCCAAACCGAAGCCATGAGAACTTTCCAAAGCAAGACCATTAGAGTTTATACAAAGTAGACAATATCATATCATTATGGAGAGTAGTATTCGTCTAATATGGTATCAGAGACATGCCCTAAATTTAGTCGTGCTAATAGATTGATAAATCCTCAAATGTCGAACAAATGATTCCAACAGAAAAGGAGTTAAGTCTCGATCAAGGGGAGGTATTAGATGATGAAAGTCCTCGGCTAATTTAAAGAATGATCATGTATTTATAATCAAATTGATGCTAAAATCAAAGCATGAGAGCTTATGTTCAAAGTAGACAATATCATACCTACCATTGTGGAGAGTGAACACTGGTCACTCAATATAATATTGTCTCTGATTAAGTTACATACAAACTATGTACATTGTTGGTAGAGGTAGAAACTTTAATTTTTTTATTAGTCATTCTATCACGGACATTGTTCTCATTTGAATATGATCTTAGTTCATTCGTGATCTCTTTTAACATCACAAGAATAATGATAGTTTTTATATAATAAATTAGATAATTTAAATAATTAAAATATAATTATTCATGTGACTCACTTAAATTAAAATATTAATGACACAAAATCAAGAGCGAATCAAATTTAAACTTTTTTTTCTTTATTCTAAAAAGCATTTTTAATAATAATAATAGTTTTATTTTAAATACTTGCCATATTAAAATTATTCTTTAAATGGTCAATAAAGTGGTTCCACTTTAGTCAATTTTTTTTTTTTTAATATTTAGGGATAAGTTCATATTTATTTTTTACACGCTTATTTTTGTTATCTAAAATTATTTAAATGGTAACTCAATCCAAATCTAAAGTGGGTAAATTGCGTATACAATAGTTTTAGATAAATACACGAATCACAGGATGAATACCTGTATCGAGTAACATAGTCTAAAATAAAATTAATTAAAATAATTAAAAACTAAAATAAATAATTAAATTTTTGAAAATGGAATTTTATCATAATGTTTATTATTCCTCAAACAATACGTGCGAACCAAATTAAATAGCAATTCGTAATATTCCTATAAATATTTTAAAAAATTAAATAAATACTTTTTAGGGCAGCCAGAGTGTCAAGACTCAGATTATATATATATTATAATTTAATAATTTTTAAATTTTCATCCTCGTGTCGGGTCCTTCCAACAACTTATTGCGTTATTACACCGGTCGTCTTTCGTCGGGTCTTAAACGGCGTCGTTCGCTTCTTCTTCATCTCCGGACGGCTCGCTGTTCCGCACGCTCCGGCTCCGCATTCTTCTTCTACAATTCATAAATTTCCGGGAAGAAGAATAATCAAAATCAAAGGTTCAAAACGCGAGGGGTCGTTGCCAAAAGGGCTCGTGATTCTATTTTTTTTCTTCACCGGTCATTAATTGTTATGGCGGAAAAGAACAGGATAGACTCTCCGCCATTCGACCAATAATGGCTTTCCATTTCCCCTTGATTTCCTCACTTGGTTCTTATTTTTTCGTTTCTCTATTTATTATTGATTCGATAGTGTTTTCCTATTGAGATGTGCGTGAGATATGGTTGCGATTGGGGGAATTTCGTTGCCGCGTTTCGTAGCGCCGTCGCTTCACCGCCAGTCCTTTTCGCCGCCGGCGATTGGGTTCGCGAGGTTTCCCAATAGGATTAGCTATAGATCGACAGTGGCTTTGCTGGATGAGGTTGAGAAAACGGGTTCGAGGGCGGCGATTGTCAATCGGAAGGTCGATGGTTTGGTTAAGAGTGATTGTGAGACTGATTTCGATGCTACCTTGGGCAATGGACATGCTAGGAACTCTGGTATTGCTTCTATTTTGATGTATTTTGATAATAGTGGTGTCGAATGTTGTTCTTCATGGTCTGAGTTTAAGCTGTCCAGATTAACAAAATGCTTATCAATCAGGCAAAATTCTTGGCGTGTTGTCCACCGTTGGAAATTCTACTAACATCAAATGGCATGAATGTTCTGTTGGAAAGATTGAAAGACAGAGCCTACTAGAACAGAAAGGATGTGTCATATGGATCACTGGTCTCAGTGGCTCAGGTTTGCCAATTTAGCCTTAGCTATGATCAATTAACCTGTTGTTGAGATTATCTTCAAATGAAATCGGTCTAGTTCGTGTATGCGTCGGTTAACCGACACGATTCTTTTGTTGTAAACTTGGATAATTGATCAAACCTAACCATGAGATGTTTTGAGTTTCATTTTTCTGGTCATCTTTTAAAAGATTATGTGAAATGGATAGCAAAAATGTTGGCTAAGTTAGGTTTGGAACTCTTTGGAGCTGACCCAATTTGTCTAAATATGCTTAGCTAACTTGCAGGGAAGAGCTGTGTGGCCTGTGCCTTGAATCAAATCTTATACAAAATGGGGAAGTTGGCTTATATTCTTGATGGGGATAATGTCAGGCATGGTTTGAACCGCGACCTTGGTTTTAAAGCGGAAGATCGTGCCGAGAACATAAAGAGGATCGGTGAGTCTTGCTTGGGAAGTTCGGTTTATTTACAACGGTTTGGATTGGCTGTTCATGATTGCTAAGTATATCTCTTCTGTAAATTAGGTGAGGTTGCAAAACTGTTTGCCCACGCCGGAGTTATTTGTATTGCTAGTTTGATATCTCCATATCGAAGGGATCGAGATGCTTGTCGTGCCATTTTGCCTGATGGATATTTTATTGAGGTTGTTCTTCATTTATGCATACCATGGATTTTGAGCAGGCTTCTATTTTACCTTGGATGACAAAAATGTGCTAAAATATATAGGTGTTCATGGATGTTCCTCTTGAAGTTTGTGAAGCAAGAGATGCAAAAGGACTGTATAAGCTTGCACGGGCGGGGAAGATCAAAGGTCACTGAAACTTGTTATCATCTTCCTTAGATTTAACTGATGATCTTAAATATTGGCTCGAAGTTCATAACTTGTCGATCGACTGAACGAAATCTCATATTTTGCAGGCTTTACTGGTATTGATGATCCGTATGAAGTACCATTGAACTGTGAGGTAATTCCAAATTCTAGAGGAAAATGGATCATATCTTTCAAACATTCTTGCAAAAGATTAATGCTTCTACTACATTGAGGAGATTCTATATCGGTTGGAGAGGAATGAAACATTACTTATAAGGGTGTGGAAACCACTCACGCATTTTAAAATTGCAAGAAGTGAACAATATCTACTTGCGGTGGGCTTGGGTTGTTACAAATGATATCATAGCTAAACACTGGAGGGTGTACTAGCGAGGACGCTGGGCTCCAAAAAGGGTGGATTGTGATCCTACATCGGTTGGAGAGGGGAACAATACATTTCTTACAAGGGTGTGGAAACCTCTCCTTAGTGGACGCGTTTTAAAACTGTAAGACTAATAGTGATACGAAACGAGTTAAAGCGGACAATATCTACCAGCGGTGAGCTTGGGCTGTTACAAATGATATTAGAGCCAGACACCGGACAATGTGTCAACGAGGACGCTGGGTCCCAAGGGGGTAGATTGTGAGATCCCACATTGGTTGGAGAGGGAAACGAAACATTTCTTGTAAGAGTGTGGAAATCTCTCCCTAGTAGACGCCTTTTAAAATTGTAAGGTTGATAGTGATACGTTACGGGCCAAAGCAGATAATATCTACCAGTGGTGGGCTTAGAAGAAAACTAATGAATATAACGTATGTTATGAATGATTCATTGTTTTCGAAGCTGATTGGGAGATCCCCCTTTGAACTTGTTGGGTTTCAGATAGTTCTGAAGAACAATGGAGGCTCCCCATGTGAGATGGCAGAGAAAGTAATGAGTTACCTTGAGCAGAAGGGCTTCCTGCAGGCTTAACTCAAACCCTACTAGAAAGGGGGCTTTAACAACCCAAGTTTTGGTTCAAAATTTGATTATAATTTAGAGCAAATCCCTTGACCGACCACAGCTTTGTTTTGTTGTGTCTGATTTGGTTCTTCTTTGTCCAATTCTTTTTCTGCAATACAGATAGGAACGAAGGCAATTCACCTTGCCATATATGTAATGTAGACTTCTTTCAAACAGGGTTTGTATATATATGCTATTAAAATATTTGGTTCTTTCTGCTTTAGTCCTCGAACTTTTCATTATTCGAATTCGATCCCTATAGTTTTAATATTTTTTATTTTTAGTCATTTAAACGTATGTTTTTTTTTAATGACGTGAAACATTTGAACGAATATGAATTAAAATCTTAAAAGTATATGTTTAGTATATGATTCTACCGTAAAAAGAAATAAAGAATGGTATGGAATTTTGCGTTGACTAATACCATAAAAAACAAGACGATCAGGTCATGTTCGATAACTATCTGAGTTTTTGTTTTTTATTGTTTTTAAAAATTAAGCTTTTAAACATCATTTCTACGTGTGATTGGTATATTGAAACGTGCTGGATGTCACCTATATCTTCTCCAACACGTGTCATTCTCATGTTGCGACTAACACCGTCTTACCCTTTCCTATGTTTCTTTTTATCGAACATATTTGTCCCTTATCGATCAGTGAGCCA